ATCTCTCGTTGTGTAAGTTCTAGTGATCAAAAGATATCCGGATTAAAGAGTCATGATTGCCATATTCTTTTACAACGAATACTTCCTGTTGGGATTCGTGGGTCCTTAAATGAAGAAGTATGCGAGGTATTGGCTGAAGTCGGCAATTTCTTTCAACGGTTATGCTGTAGGAAGTTGAAAAAATCAGAATTGGAGAAAATGAGAGATGATATTTGTTTGATATTGTGCAAACTAGAGAAGATATATCCTCCTGCATTCTTTGACATCATGGTTCATTTGTCAATCCATTTGCCGAATGAGGCATTGATAGGTGGACCGGTTCAATTTAGATGGATGTTTCCAATTGAACGGTAATTCATATTAAACTATGAGCTTCTTATTTATAATTCTTCTTGTAAATGTTTTTTATAATTTTTTTTTTTTTTGTTTAGATTCTTAGGCGACTTGAAGCAAGGTGTAACTAATAAAGCTCATCTGGAAGGATCCATTGCAGAAACGTATATTGCAAAGGAGTCGTTAACTTTTTGCTCCATGTACTTGCGGGGAATTGAGACTAGATTTAACAGAGATGATAGAAATTGTGATATAACCGTTGATGATAGTCTATCAATCTTTTCTGCAAAATGTCGCCACTTTGGAGCAACAACACTTGTTGAGTTGTCAGAGGAAGAGTTTAACACGGTACAATGGTTTGTCTTTCAGAATTGTGAAGAGGTTCAACCTTATATTGAGTAAGTATAAAATTATATTTTACATATACATATAATATTATTACACTTTATTCTTTCTTTAATAACTGTATCAATGCAGGAAGCACATACAAGAGCTATTCTTAGCTGGTTGTGGAAACATAAACCAAGAGCATAGAGAAAAATTTCCTTCGTGGTTCAAAAAACATGTAAAGCCCTTGCAAATACAAAATATTTAATCGTCATATCTTTCCTCTTTCTTTTCATTTTAATTAATTTTTTATTTAATTAGTTGCTATTATATCTTATTCAGATGACCCATTCGTACCACGAGAATCCAACAGAAGCAAATGAATCTTTGTATTCTCTTGCATGTGCCCCAAGCAAATGTGTTAGAAAGTACGCTGGATGTATTGTCAATGGCATAAGATTTCTAACGAAAGACCGTGTGTAACACCCCTCCTTACTGTAAAATCAGAGCGCGCTAAAATTTGCAAAGTGATTTAAAAATAATTCCTTTTACTTTGCGAAAACTAATTCGAGGTGCTACCTTTTTAAAAATCATGACTTAACTTAGAAAACCGTTATTTTAGTTTTAATAAAAACGTCCGGTTACTGAAATCATGAGTTTCTTAGACGTTCGTCAAAACCAT